TTTAGCTGTCAATCTGAGGACAGTGCAGAGCATTCGGAAAGAGTTGGATGATATATCCAGTCAACATCATGGTGTTTGGAGTGGTTACTAACGATGGCGATGTTATGCCTTCATTCATCTTCCCACTGGGCCTCAAACTCATCACGGAAGCCTACATCAAGTGACTTGAGGAGGTAGTGCTGGCTTGGATCAAGAGGGAAGAACCTGTGTATGGCAATAAGAATCCCCACTGCGCCACAAAAGCAGGCACCACAGTCATGGCTGTCAGAAAATTTCTGGAGACCATATTACCCCTTAGATCTTACCACCTAACTCCCCAGACTGCAACCCCCTTGATTATTCTGTGTGAGGCGTAGTCGAGTGAGAGACCAACAAAACATCAATGATGAACTGAAGGCAAGGATTATGGCAGCATTCACCAACTTAAACAAGGAGACCGTCCAGATCGAGTTGCAGGGGATTCCGAAGTTGTCTAGAGGTAGTGGTTGAAGTCACTGGAGATTTTGTTGAATAAATTTACTTTAGTTATTTCTGTGTCATTTTGGTATGTCAGTGTTATTTTCATTTTTACTTTATTTACACAGGGATTATCCATCACACCCTGTATATTTAGAGATTCTTGATAAAATCGAAAGAAGAATCTGCAATATTATAAGTCCTAGCATGGTATCTTTCCACTAAAATTTATGAATTTAAGCGCAGTACTAGATTGGCAGCTAGTCTTTTCATTTTACATTTGAAATAGTTAGATGCAACCGTAAGTTCTATGCTAACAGTTTCTTCTAACTCTCTTCACTCTCGTGGTTTTCTCTTGAGGATTATTGCTTCCCTGGCAACATTGATCTTCAAAAAATTAAATACATCGTCAATCAATGTCTTCTTCCTTCTTAATACCTCTTCTTTTATTTTCCTTTCCCCTCACTAAAGATCTTCTAATTCTCTTTCACTCTTCTTACTTTCAAGTCAACTTTGATCTTCCAAAATTTCATTGCAATATCAATCGTTATCTTCTGTCTTCTTAATTCTCTTCTTTATTGTCCTTTCCCCTCACTAAAGTCTTCTAATTTCTTTCCTCTTCTTTTCCAGTCAACTTTGATCTTCTTTTTCATTGCAATAAATCGTTATCTTCTGTCTTCTTAATTCCTCTTCTTTTATTGTCCTTTCCCTTAAAGTCTTCTAATTCTCTTTCAGTTTCCACTCAACTTTGATCTTCAAAAATTTCAATGCAATCAATCGTTATCTTCGTTATCTTCTGTCTTCTTAATTTCTTCTTTTATTGTCTTTCTTTTTCTAATTGTCCTTTCCCAGTCAACTCATCTTCAAAAATTTCAATGCAATTCTCTTTTATCTTCTGTCTTCTTAATTTCTCTTTTTATTGTCCTTTCCCGTCACTAAAGTCAATTCTCTTTCACTCTTCAAAAAATTTCAATGCAATGTCAATCGTTATCTTCTTCTTAATCTTCTTTAATTTCCCGTCTTCTTTTATTGTCCTTTCTTCCCACTCACTTTGATCTTCAAGTTTCTTCTGTCAATTTATCTTCTTTTCAATTTCTCTTCTTTTTGTTTCCACTAAAGTCAACTTTTCATCTCTTCTTACAAAAACTTTGATTTCAAAATTTCAATGTCAATCGTTATCTTCTGTCTTCTTAATTTCTCTTCTTTTTTTGTCCTTTTCCCTCACTAAAGTCTTCTAATTCCTTTTCACTCTTCTTACTTTCCACTCAACTTTGATCTTCAAAAATTCAATTGTCAATCGTTATCTTCTGTCTTCTTAATTTCTTTTCTTTTATTGTCCTTTCCCCTCACTAAAGTCTTCTAATTCTCTTTCACTTTTGATCTTCAAAAATTTCAATGCAATGTCAATCGTTATCTTCTGTCTTCTTAATTCCTCTTCTTTTATTGTCCCTTTTCCCTCTTTCCTCACTAAAGTCTTCTAATTCTCTTTCCTCTTCTTACTTTCCAGTCAACTTTGATCTTCAAAATTTTCAATGCAATGTCAATTTCTCTTATCTTCTGTCTTTCTCTTTTCAATTTCCAGTCAACTTTGATCTTCAAAATTTCAATGCAATGTCAATCGTTATCTTTTCTTCTTAATTTCTCTTCTTTTATTGTCCTTTCCCTCACTAAAGTCTTCTAATTCTCTTTTCACTCTTCTTACTTTCCAGTCAACTTTGATCTTCAAAAATTTCAATGCAATGTCAATCGTTATCTTCTGTCTTCTTAACTAAAGTCTTCTAATTCTCTTTTTTATTGATCTTCAAAAATTTCCAATGTCAATCGTTATCTTCTGTCTTCTTAAATTGTCTTTCCCCTAATTTCTCTTTCACTCTTCTTACTTTCCAGTCAACTTTGATCTTCAAAATTTCAATGCAATGTCAATCGTTATCTTCTGTCTTCTTAATTCCTCTTCTTTTATTGTCCTTTCCCCTCACTAAAGTCTTCTAATTCTTTTCACTCTTCTTCTTTCCAGTCAACTTTGATCTTCAAAAATTTCAATGCAATGTCAATCGTTATCTTCTGTCTTCTTAATTTCCTCTTCTTTTATTGTCCTTTTCCCCTCACTTAAAGTCTTCTAATTCTCTTTCACTCTTCTTACTTTCCAGTCAACTTTGATCTTCAAAATTTCAATGCAATGTCAATCGTTATCTTCTGTCTTCTTTTCTCTTCTTTTATTGTCCTTTCCCCTCACTAAAGTCTTCAATTCGTTATCTTCTTACTTTCCAGTCAACTTTGATCTTCAAAATTTCAATCAATGTCAATCGTTATCTTCTTCTTCTTAATTCCTCTTCTTTTGTCCTTTCCCTCACTAAAGTCTTCTAATTCTCTTTCACTCTTCTTACTTTCCAGTCAACTTTGATCTTCAAAATTTCAATGCAATGTCAATCGTTATCTTCTGTCTTCTTAATTTCTCTTCTTTATTGTCCTTTCCCTCACTAAAGTCTTCTAATTCTCTTTCCTCTTCTTACTTTCCAGTCAACTTTGATCTTCAAAATTTCAATGCAATGTCAATCGTTATCTTCTTCTTCTTAATTTCTCTTCTTTTATTGTCCTTTCCCCTCACTAAAGTCTTCTAATTCTCTTTCACTCTTCTTACTTTCCAGTCAACTTTGATCTTCAAAATTTCAATGCAATGTCAATCGTTATCTTCTGTCTTCTTAATTTCTCTTCTTTTATTGTCCTTTCCCTCACTAAAGTCTTCTAATTCTCTTTCACTCTTCTTACTTTCCAGTCAACTTTGATCTTCAAAATTTCAATGCAATATCAATCGTTATCTTCTGTCTTCTTAATTCCTCTTTTTTTTCTCTTCCACTCTTCTTACTTTTTTCATTGTTATCCTTTTCTCTCACTAAAGTCTTCTCAATTTCCTCTCTTTCTTTCACTCTTCTTACTTTCCAGTCAACTTTGATCTTCAAAAATTTCAATGCAATGTCAATCGTTATCTTCTGTCTTCTTAATTCCTCTTCTTTTTTATTGTCCTTTCCCCTCACTAAAGTCTTCTAATTCTCTTTCAATTTCCAGTCAACTTTGATCTTCTAAAATTTCATTGCAATGCCAATCGTTATCTTCTGTCTTCTTAATTCCTCTTTTTTTTTATTGTCCTTTCCCCTCATTAAAGTCTTCTAATTCTCTTTCACTCTTCTTACTTTCCACTCAACTTTGATCTTCAAAAATTTCAATGCAATGTCAATCGTTATCTTCTGTCTTCTTAATTCCTCTTCTTTTATTGTTCTCTCTCCTTAATTAGTAGTTTTTTCCCCATGTTCCCTGGCGCTCAGTATTTCCTTGTTTCCTAGTGGCTTTATTCCCTTGCTTGGGGTGAAATGATAAAAAAAAAGGTTTTGCGTATGGCAAAGCCCTCCCTTTCAAATATGGCTTATAAATGCTGGTTTTAACCTCGGCTCCAATTGGTGGCGGTTAGAAATCGACAACTCTCACAGGTCAAGGCTACTAACATGTATGTTTTCGAATTAATATATCTGTTTTTTTTTTTCTTTTTCTTTTTTTAATCTACTGACTATTAAAAAAAAACATGAGATTCCCAACAGATGGTGTCCGAGTTTTAAGGCGATGTATAATACTGGATTTAAATGAAGTCATCTTCCGAGCAGGACGTTGTCGCTGTCTCTGGCCACGAGCGCTCCAACTGCGACAATGACATTAACAGGGTCAGCTTTTAGCAACCTCCCCCCCTCCTCAAACCCCTTTGCCATTCATGTATGCTTAGAACTCTTTCATCGCTGTAAAGGTGAAAGGCGAATTAATAATGGGAGGGGGATATCTTACGCTTCTAATAAGGTGATCCAGGCAATTTTTATAGGGATCACTAATGTCCCAAGTTTTTTTTTTATTTTTATATATTAACGGAAGTCTTGGCTCTTTACTTTTTTTTATATGAACTCGACTTTTAATGATACGCTGTTTGTCGATTCTATCTTGCCTTATCCTGTTGATAAATGATTTTTTTTTCCAACTGCTTGAAGTGAAATGATAGCCAAACTTGTACCCCTCCTAATCCGACCCAGCACGATCTTCACTTTAGCCCTGGTCATATTTTGCTCCTCTTGTATAATCCGCAAAGCTCTGTTAGACAATTGCTATCTCTCTTGTGTGCAAAACACAAAATCAAGTTTGATTGTTTGCCTATTTTATTTTATTGCTTTTATTTTTGTTTCTTTTTTTTTTTTCGGGTATTTTTCGATTTTTCTTTTATCGTAGACCAGAGAGTTTTCATTCCCTCTTTACAATAATTATTCATTTTTTTTCATCTATTACTTTTTCATTCATTTTGCGTTTCTCTTCTTTTTTTCTTTTGATCTTTGTGGAATTTTCCCGTCTTTCTTTCTTTGTTTTTTTCTTTCTTCCTTTTTCTATTTTTCTTCATTCTTTATTTTTTCTTTTCCATTTCTTTTTTTTTTTCTTTTTGTCTTTGTTTGTTTGCATATTTCTTTCTCCGTTTTTCTATTTTTCTTCATTCTTTCTTTACTGTTTTCTATTTATTGATGTCTTTTTTGTCTTTCTTTCATTATTTCATTCTTTCTTTCTTTCATTCATTCACTTCTTTTATAATTCATTTCTATTGTATTTTTTGCTTTTCATTTCTTTTCTCTTTATTTCTTTTTCTTTTATTTCTTTTTCCTTCTTTTTTCTTTCCTTCTTCATTTCCATTTCTTCTTTTTCTTTTTCTTTCCTTTTTTCTTTTCTTTTTTCTTTCCTTCTTTTTTCTTTTCTTCTTTGTTCTTTTCTTCTTTTTTCTTTACTCATTTTTCTTTTTTTCCTTCTTTGTTCTTTTCTTTTTTTTCTTTACTTTTTTTCTTTCTTTTTCCTTCTTTTTTCTTTTCTTCTTTTTTCTTTCCTTCTTCATTTCCATTTCTTCTTTTTCTTTTTTCTTTCTTTCTTTTTTCTTTTCTTTTTTCTTTCCTTATTTTTTCTTTCCTTCTTTGTTCTTTTCTTCTTTTTCTTTACTAATTTTTCTTTCTTTCTTTTTTCTTGTCTTCTTTTTCTTTTCTTTTTTTACTTTACTAAATTTTTATCTTCCTTTTTCGTTTTCTTTCTTAATTCATTCATTTATTCTTTCCTTTTCATACATTCATTCATTTTTTCTTTTCTTTCTTTCTTTCTTTTCTCATTATTCATGTATATTTCTTCTCTCTTTCTTTCTTTTTCTATTTTTCTTCATTCTTCCTTTTTTCTTTTCTATTTGTTTTTTTCTCCTTTTCTCTTTCTTTCTTTCATTCAATCATTGTCTTTCTTTTCATTTCCTCAATATTTCTTTGTCCTTCATTTCATTTCTCTTTCTTTCTTTTTCTCTTTCATAATTTTTTATCTTCCTTTTACAACATTCTTTTCGCTTGCTTTCTTTCTATTTCTTCCTTTTCTCTATTTTCAGGACGTAGGTGATCATGGCTCTCCACGTCCCCCTATCCCTTGTAGCTCTCAATAATTCTCGTCCCTCTGCCACCTGTCCCAGATCACGTTATGTCATTCACTAGCTTAAGCCCACTAGGTATGTCATGCGTTGCTTTCCCTTGTCCCTCTTTCTCTCTATTCGACCTGTGAGTATCAGATTATCCAGGAATTTCTTAAAATGCAATGAAAGACTAAATGCACATGTATACGTCCAGCAGCTGCAACGTGTCCTTAAGAGTTTTGTTGAAAAGCACCCTGCGCTTGTCTATTGAAAAATGATGTTCTCATACATGATAACCTGAGGTTGAATACAGTAAGACTAACACAGGAAACAATTTTTTTTCCTGCTTTACTCCCATTAACCTGACCTCGACCCTTTGCTTTCACCATAGGCCTTAATTTCTTATCAACTGAAGTGCATGATTCCTTCATCCCCACCCTCATAGTTCAAATTGTAAGGCGATGTCATACGAGCTTCTTTCTGGGCTGAAGTTATGAGATACATAAACCATCACTCTTCAATATGGGTCCATATCGCAAAATTCATAGGATTAACGTCATGAATTTGATGGTAGCCAGTATGGCTTACCTCGACGGTATTTGAGCGTAAATTAGTGTAATGTTGTGCATGTGTGGGCATTATTAGGATAATATTCATTTTGAGTCCTTAAAATTAATACACATTTAAACAACCAGCAGCTGGAACGTGTCTATAAATGTTTGACAGAAAAACACCCGGCTCTGCTCAATACTAAAAATGTTGTTGCCCTTCCTGATAAGGCAAGGTCGGATATAGCAAAAATAACAGCGATCTGTTCTATGCTACACGTAATATTATCCCCATGACGTAATATTAGCATCACGATATAATATTAACCTCATGTCGTAATATTACCCTCATAACGCAATTAACCATATGTCGGAACATTACCCTCATGACGTAATATTACCCCCATGACATAATATTATCCTTATGACGTAATATTAACCTCACGGCCTAATATTAACATAATGCTGCAAACCACTGATTATAACATATTTCAATCACCGCAAAAGGTTCCAATAGCTCTCACTAACTCTCTCATTTTATGTCTGTTCACATCTCTCTCTCTCTCTCTCTCTCTCTCTCTCTCTCATTCTCAGTCTGTTCATATCTTTCTCTTTTTCTATCATTCGTAAACCCCCCCACAAAAAAAAAAAAAAACATGCACACAGGGTGACCAAATACAATGATCGCTCACATACATGGACGCACACTCATATACGGGAGACACGAGGAGATATATATATGTGTATGTACACATACATACATTTATGTATGTATATGCGGATGTTGACAACTTAAGAAGCCACGTGTGTGTGTGTGTGTGTGTGCGTGTGTATGTATGTATGTGTGTGTGTGTGTGTGTGTGTACTGGTTCCATGTAGCTTGGGAAATATGTGTGTATATGTGTGTGTGTACTGACTACTTGTGGTGGGATAGTGTGTATGTGCGTATGTGTGTGTATGCGTGTATAAGTACAAATAAGTTTACGAATTCCTCGTAGTAAGGAAATATACGCACGCATATATAGACGCATGTATAGACGCATGCTGACAGGAACACGCCAAAATAGAAACAGATCCAAGAGCACATAGGGGTCACTAAAACATTAAAAGATTAAATGCCGATAACTACTCGCTGGACAAACCTTAATTGTTTTATGACCCTTCACGCAGAACTCGGAAAATTCGGATTGCCAACACACAAACAGAATGTCTCATATCGAGAATATTCCACATTGAACATGAAGAAAAATTAATTATTTTTAATAATATGTAAAATCTCCACTTTCACCTGAACACGGTTGCGAGACCAGACCAGAAACACGTGTCGTGAAATTATGTAAAACAAAGTATAATATTTTTTCTCAATAAATCCACATTACAACCAAAAACGTTTGCGGCACCCTCTTCTTTTTAATATATATATATATATATATATATATATATATATATATATATATATATATATATATATATTTTATTATCTCTATCTGCACATTTTCTCATCTATCTATCTATCTATCTATCTATCTATCTATCTATCTGTCTGTCTGTCTGTCCTATCTATCTATCTATCTATCTATCTATCTATCTCAGTCATCCATCTATTTATCTATCTCAGCCTATTCATATCTATCTATCTATCTATCTATCTATCTATCTATCTATCTCAGTTTGTCATATCTATCTATCTATGTATCTATCTATCTATCTATCTCAGTCATATCCATCTATTTATCTATCTCAATCTATTCATATCTATCTATCTATCTATCTATCTATCTATCTATCTATCTATCTATCTATCTCAGTTTGTCATATCTATCTATCTATCTATCTATCTGCCGATCTAAGTCTGTTCATTATCTATCTATGTATCTAAGTTCATTTCTCTCACTATCATTCTGTCTGTTCATTTTTCTCCCTCTCAATCTTTCCTAATCTGTTCTTCTCACTCTCACTTTCTCATTTCCAGTCAGTTCATCTCTCTTTCTCTCTCTTTCTCTTTCTCTCTCTTTCTCTCTCTTTCCCTGTCTCTCTCTTTCTCTTTCTCTCACTTTCTTTCTCTCATTCACAGTTTGTTAATCTCAAAAACCTTCTTGATTAGCGGTAACAAGTCATTGTAAGTAACGATGTATTTATAATTAAATAAAATATTATTGTCCTTTACTTTTAGAAGAATAAATGTGATCAACAAAATCAAATTATTTTTGACTCAACCTCATGGAATTAATGATTTTCACTGCGATTTCGAAATAGACAGACACACAGACAGGCACACAATCAGAGACCCTGTCGGAGAGAAACAGTGACAAGTCCTCAATCGCATCTTCTGTTTCAGGGGTTTATTTCTCATATATCTTAGTCATAATATGGCCCTTCTTCGTTACTTAAGCGTCAAAGAAACAAGCCTTAATGTTGAGGGTGATTTATTGATAGTATGACCTCTCTGATCCGAGTAGTGGACAAGGTCAGCGTATAAGATGTGCAAGGAATCATCTTCCTGTGAATTTCGACTCAAGCAATGTATTTCTCATATTTTCCCGCTCATATTTTAAGCTCTCCTCAACGATAAACTCTGTTGTCATCCTCTTACCATTTTCGCGAATTTAAAACACCTACTTTGAGATTTCCAAATGTTTGGTTTCTGAATAGAGATATTATTAAATTTGAAGTTTACCAGTTAATTTTAAATAAAAACTATGGCGTTCTTTACTCAATAGCAAGTCATAGTGCAATTCACGCACAGAATTTGTTGGCTATATTAAATCTAATCGTTCAACTGGAAGTGAAGATTTCTAGTTTTGGTTTTGATTTGTGAGAGATCACTGTTGTAGTGGGTTTAAGAAAACGTTTATGATTTGGAATAACTTGAGGGTAGTTATTTGAAGTATAAAAGATTTATTTATTTCCTTCGGACATATTATATTATTTTAAGTTTTCATTTCAAAAACAAACATTTCGGTGTAAAATTCACTAAAGATGTAATTTAAGAAATTTGGTTCTGTTACTTGGAAATTAATGTAACAATTTCTAATTAAAGTTTATTTAGTACTAGACCACGCCCTGACCACCTTAGGTTACCGTAGTCGTGTTTACTGTTTAAATTTACTTTCATTAAGAGTTTGTGGAAGCAGAGATATTAAAAAAATACATCTATTTACAGTTATTGAAGTTGGTTTCAACATTAAGAAAAATTGTCTTTTTGGAAAAAGTTGAGCAATAAGAGTTTGGAATGTCAAAGTTCGGAATGTCGGGATTCGATACAATAACATCAAATATTGTTGTGAGGCTGCACGTAATTCGGCCGTTTAGAATAATCACGACTTTCATTGAAAGAATAAAATTCAGTAGAAAAGACAACGTAGTTTCAACAAATGAACATTAATATAGCAACAAAAATACAATTATTGGTCATAGATTGGAAAGTAATGTCTTTTTGGATCTGTGAATATTTCTGAGATGAGGTATTATGTATATTATTTACATTATTTGGACTATTGTCCTCATCTTTTTCGCCATATTTATTACAACGTTTCGGCCTTTGTACGCTCCGGCCTTCTTCACTTGGTTGGAATAACCGGGTATTGAACTCACACTCCAGTGACAGGACGCAAAGAGTGTGAGTTCAATACCCGGTTAAGGCATTGGAGAACTTTCAGAGGGAAATTAACAGGAGATTACTGATAACTGACATCCATTAAACATGGCACGTGGAACTAGAACAGTCTACCCCAGTGAGCGAAATAAAGGGTTCAGTTCGACATTCCAACCACCTGAACGTACAACGGCCGAAACTATGTAATAAATATGGCAACAAAGATGAGGTCAATTGTCCGAATAATGTAAATAATATAATGTCTTTTTGCTTGGGTTAATCAAATTCTGAATTAAAATTTTAACTATTTGTGTACGTATGTCAGACACAATGAAATATTCTTATATGTGTGTTTGAGTGAAAAAGTCAACACGTGTGTGCGTGGTTCATAGTAAAGAGATACAAGAGGTAGAATTTGTTTCTTACTGTGAACAATGTTGTCATAGTCTGAAGTGGTCTCTTTGAAGTTTGTCAGCGCAGTCGCTTTTAGCATGAGTTTTTCAAGTCCACAAGGGAGCGTGGCGTGGACCTTGATGACAGCTGTGTCTAGGGCCAGATTTCTCGTAAGAAAATCGGATCCATCCACTACTTCCTACACGATAATAAATTTATATTTTTTTCCTCAACTCTCTATATATGACTTGTTTATATCTTTCTTTTCCCCACTCTCTATATATGACATCTGGCAAACACACAAGATACACAGTTCACAGAGTTTTATATAATAATAAAATAAGATTCTTCTGCATGTAATTTTTTATTCAT